AAAAATCACTCCATGTATTTTCTCCCAAAAAAATACCTTCGAGTTTAAAAATCCACCTTCAATAAAGTTTTAAGTATCTACTGATTTTTGGAAAAACGCATAGAAAGTTTTAAAGGTTATTTTATTATGGGAAAACTACCAAGGAAAATGGTGAGAAAACAGATCATATTTGAGAGGTCATTTCTATTAATTATTCATAAATAATCATAATATGTAGTTTTATTTATTTATTTTTCCACAACTGATTAGGGTGATTTCTTCTAGTTATGTGTTTTAATGCAAGTGGAGTGTAACATAGGTCAGAGTTTCATAAACTTCATCCGTAAAGAGCCATATGGTCAATATTTTAGGCTTTGCCGGTTATTTGGTCACTGTAGCAACAACGTATCAGTTGTTTAGAGGAGAAAGCAGCTATAAGCAAACACATATGAATGCGTGCGGTTGGTTCCTTTAAAACTTATTTATAGACACAGAAACTTGAATTTTATATAATGTTCATGTGCCACCAAATATTCTTTTTTGATTTTTTTCAATCATTTAAAAATGTGGAAGCCATTTTTAGCATAGAAGATGGACATCTACTTTCTTTTTAACCCTTTCTCCCCATTTTCCATACTAACAGCAATAGCTCTCTCAAGATTTCTTCACTTTACTGGGTCCCTTTTTCTGTACCTGGAATGCCCCATTCCCACTCTTGGTGCCATCACCTATCATCCACCAGCTTCAACATTCTGGTCCTTTCAGATATCAGGTGTACAAATCCTTCCTAACCCTGCACTCATATCCTTTCGTGTTCCTTTGGTGTTTTATCATAGAACTATTTAAGAGATAGTATATTAGAATGACTGTGTTTTTGGTATATAGACTTACTTGAAAGAAACTTGATAGAGGTTTTCCCAAAATTGTCAACAGTCTGAAAGTTTACATGACCTTACCAATAGTGAGAAGTGAAGCTGAAACATTTTTTAAAAACTGTTATAAACTATTAGACTCCCCACCAAATCATTGTCATTACCATGAGGAAAGTCCTAATTCTCTCTGTATTCTTCTTTAAAAATGACATTACAGAATTGTCATAAGAAGAATTAGTTGAAGATTATGCAGCCACAATTGTAGAAATAAAAGTATTAGAGAGGTTTGTCAGTTAATAATAAATGTCAAATTATTTTTCTGAATTTTAGATTGTTTCATTTGTGGGCTTTTAAATACTGAAGATTTCTTTTGATTAGTTTTCTTATTCTAAATTCACTTTTGTACTCAATTTATTATTCATTTTTAAATTTTTTAAAAATAAAACTCCCAAATTATATGACCTGTAGGCCTAAAAGAGATTGTCTGTCTCTTCTTGTTCTGAAAAAGAATTGTCAGTTTTGCTTAAAATAGTGTTTTGAATTGTGATGAAAAAATCATTTAGATACCTGAGACATAAATTAAATTTGGAAACTTTAAGTTCAAAAAAAATTGAAAAAGGTGTGAGCATAGTTGGGTGTTTATTTTACTTTACCAGGTGACTAATCCTAAAATAAGGGTTTGAACATACTGCATCAAATGACACCTCTGATTGTAAGGTTTTTTTGCCCAGTTCTTACTTGTGAAAATTTTGAATTAAGTGGGTGATAATTACATGATTATTCAAATTCCAAAAGGAAGCAACAAAGGAGACATTTCCTGATACAAGATTATATATCATAAGTGTAGTGCTTAAGTGGATGGATTTTTTTTGTCAGTAAATCACTCAGTGCTGTCAACTTAATCCATTGAGAGAGGGAGAACAAAACTAGTGGGGGATGAGGGGAGGAGGGGACCAGGCAACAGTTCCTTGATATTAAATTGTAGAGCTTTGATTGCAGTTTGGCAGTAAGGCAGCTCTACTAACATAGAATTCTGCTATATTAATATGTTGAGGCTGGGGTCATGGCTTAGCCTCTAATCCCAGAGCTTTGGGAGGCCGAGGTGAGTGGATTATCTGAGCCTGTGGGTTCGAGACCCACCTGGGCAACTTGGTGAGACCTCATCTCTACAATAAATGAAAAATTAGCCGGCCGTGGTAGCGCATGCCTGTAGTTCCAGCTACTTGGAAGGCTGAGGTGGAAGGATCGCCGGAGCCCAGCAGGTCGAGGCTGCGGTGGCCGGGAGCAACCACTGCATTCCAGTCTGGGCGACAGTGAGACTCCAACTCAAAAAAAAAAAAAAAAAAGTTGATATGCCTTACACTTCTGCTTTTTTATTTTCTTGTGTATATCCTTTTTTGTAAGTCTTTGAAGTATGATTCAGCTTCACTAGTACACCTCAAGTATCTTTGAAAAAGATGATATTCTAGGAAACTTTCATTAGGATTCAAAGTCCAGGTTTCTCAGTCAGCTAAGCAGATGAGAACCTATAGAAATGTTACATCAGCGCTGGGCTTGGTGGCTCAGCCTGTAATCCTAGCACTCTGGGAGGCCGAGGCAAGTGGATTACCTGAGCCCACAGGTTCAAGACCAGCCCGGGCAACTTGACGAGACCATGTTTCTACAATAAAATAAAAAATTAGTCGGGAGCTGTAGTGCATGCCTATAGTTCTGGCCACTTGAAAGGCTGAGGGTGGAAGGATTGCCAACACCCTGCTGGTGTAGCCATGAGCATCCCACTGTTCTTCAGTTTGGGTGACAGAGTGAGATTCCGACTCAAAAAAAAAAAGGAAAGAAATGTTACATCACTTCTTTCCAGCTGAAGAGAATTGAAGCATAGATTTAGCTTTTCATTGTTCTAAGTATCATGTTATGGAGATGGTATAGACTAAACACAAGCAGTGGTAAAGTAAATTCTTAAATAGTCTTGAAACTATAGTGGTTACTTTCCTATCCAGCCTCACCATGTGTATCCTGGGGTGGCGATGGCTTCTGTCGAGGCTCCTCACACTCAGAGTTGCAACTTATGGTGGGAAAAACGAAGGCAGAAAGTAGAGAGAGTAGGGGGTATTATATGCTGAATGTAAAGAAGGGAGGCGCAGGTGACTACTTAAGATTCAAGATATTTCATAGTAACTTAAATAAGAAGACAATGGAAACATTAGGCCACTAGCTTTAGAAAACAATTGTTGATGGAAAAATTTGGAAACTACCACTCTGGAATTTTAAGTAGATTTAATCAGACATCTGAATACCCAATATTTAGAAGCACATCACTGCATTTTAATATACTAGTAGACGCCAGGCACGGTGGCTCAGCCTGTAATTCCAGCACTTTGAGAGGCCGAGGTGAGAGGATTGCCTGAGCCCGGGGGTTTGTGACCAGCCTTGGCAACTTGGTGAGACCTGGTATCTACAGTAAGTCACATAAACTAACTGGGCGTAGTGGCGTGTGTCTGTAGTTCCAGCTACTTGGAGGGCTGAAGTGGAAGGATTGTCTAAGCCCAGCAGGCCAAGGCTGTGGTGGCACCATGAGCGTACCACTGCACTCCAGCCTGGACGACAGAGTGAGATTCCAACTCAAAAAAAAAAAAAACAGTGCTAATAGAATAATTCTCTTGATACCTATATTGTCTCTCAATCCTAATTGAAAACAACATGTGTTAAAATCCATCTGCCTAGAACACTGATTGGAAATTAGTTCTTTACTACTTAAATTATTTTGTATGGTATAAAGTAGCATTTGTGTGTGTGTGTTTAGTCATTTTGACACTGCATACTATTGGTGTTTACTTTGAATAAAAATTATGTGATATATTAGGGAAGTGATTCTACAAATATATTACTTCTTTAATTCCAGATGCTGTTTATATACAACTATGATAATAACTGGAGCTAGTCAAAAAGTAGGTCACTTGACCTTAACCCTCGGGGTTCTGAAATAAGCTAAAGACACAAAGATTTGCTCACCATAAACTGAATATGAGTGCAGCAATGGAATAAGTGCCCCAGCATATGCACAGTTTTATTAGAATACTTGCAGGACACATAAAGACTCTCAAAGTAGAGTAACTTATTTTAAAAAACTAGACAATTTCCAAGAGCTAGAGAGATCTACAAAAAACATGCTAGTTCCCTGCCATTAATGTGACTTATACCATCTACATACACAGTTTCTTACCATCCTACACTTGTTCTCCAAAGTCCCAGCAGAAGTATGTAATTGACTCTCTACCCATACTGTAGATTGGTTTTTCCTGTTAGCTGTAGGCTGCTGTGTCTGGGAGGCAAGGTTCTGGAGTAACTTGCTAGGTAGGAACTGTGAACATGATAGGTTAAGCTAGGAGAGAAGGTTGAACATAGCAGATGGCTGAATCGTTGAGTAAGGGCTCAGTCAGTAAGCTCCTAAGGGTAGCAATCTTGTCTGCTGAAAGGTTCATGGAGGAGATGTGTTTAAATAGAATAAAGAGGTTGTGTTGGATTTAAGTGTCAAGCTCAAGTGGATAAAGAGGGAAGATGGTCTCGGCAGTGAAGCCATGTGAACCAAGTTGTACAGGTTTATGCTTGATACTTAGGTAGATTAGTCTGACAGAGTGACCCTCAGCATAGCCGCCCTGAATCATCTGAGCAGCCCGTCAGTGCCTGGGCACCAGCATAGACTGACACAGAATCTTTGGGGTTTGTGGTCCGAGCATTTGCAGTTTTTAAAAGGTCCCCCAGGTGATTCCAATACAAAGAGGATTGAGAACCACTGAACAGCTAAAGATGACCATACATTATGAGTTTGTGAAGTACAGTTGGAAAAGGATGTAGAGGCCCTTCTGTATCAGGCTGAGGACTTTCTTAGGTGTATCCCTTAAGTAAGAGGAGCCACTCGTTTTTCACTCTTTTCTGAGTCCAATATCATGGCATCCATTTAGAGTTCTTCCAGGGCAGTAGACAGGAAAAGAAAATTTATGGGATCTGGATGCATGTTACACAGCTCTTGGTGCTCATTAAGAAGATTGTTTTTCCACCACTTCTCTGTAGCACTGGATGTTCTCATTCCAAATTTAGTCTTCCAAGCAGAATGTAAAAGAGTTTTATAACAGTCCTTTCTCCTTTCTTTAGGGGAGTTGGTTGCATCTTTGTTGAAATGATCCAAGGAGTTGCTGCTTTTCCAGGAATGAAAGACATCCAGGATCAACTTGAACGAATATTTCTGGTAAGGCCTTTACAGGGTACTTCTGAGAAAAAATGGTTTTGTAATTAGTCACTTAGTGACTAATTCTATAGCAGTCTGTGGGTAGCGATTTAAAACAAATGTACTTGTGGTCACATTTAGTTCTAATGTATTTCTGAACCTTTGGAAAAACAGGAACTAAGAATTGTGTTTTTAAACTATTGTACATGTATAACATGGCAAAATGGTAAAAAAAGAACAGATGTGAGAAGCAATACAGAGTAACGGGCTAAAAATGGGGTCCCTGACAGAAGACTCCCAAATGATTTATATAGATTCCCACCCTCTTCAAGGAGGTGGAACTTAACTCTCAGTTCTCCCAGCCCCCTTGACTGTGGGCTTTGATTGGTAACTTTCTTCCGTAAAACAGAACATGGGAAGTGGGAGGATAGTGACTTTACAATGGAGACACCAGCAAACAGTACCTTAGTCCAGTCTCATGGCTAGCATCATCATAGGTAAGTCATGTTGGTAACATGCATCCTTCACATGGTATGTTGGGAATGTGGTCTTCCACCTAAAACCATAACCCTAGTCCAGTCATTAAAAATACATCACACAAGCCCATACTGAGTGAAAGTCTACAAAATACCTGATTGGTACCCCTCAAAACTGTCAAGGTCATCAAAAACAAGGAAAGTATGAGAAACTGTCACAACCCAGAGGAGGCTAGGGGAGACATGACAACTCATGTAAGGTACTCTCCTGGATGGAATCTTGAAACAGAAAAAGCACAATAGGGAAAAATTGGTAAGATCCTAGCAAATATGGTGTTCAGATAATACCATTGCACCGATGTAGGTTCCTTGGTTGTGGCAAATATGGGAGGCTGGTTGAGGTGTACAGATGAGCCCTCTGTGTTATGTTTTGCAACTTGTCTATAAATCTAGACTATTCTAAAATTAAAACCTTTTTTAAATTATTAAAAACCTTCCAGAAATACATATTCTGGAGCCAGACTTTCTGGGTGTAGCACACACCCTGCTCTGTTACGTTTTGGCTAAATGGCTTTGGGCAAAGGACTGAATAGCCCTCTGAACCTTAGTTTTCTCATGGGTAAAATTAGGGATAAAAATAGCATCTGCATCATAGGTTGCTTGGAGGAATGATTGACTCAATATTCATAAAATACTTGTAGGACTACGCTTGGCATATGGTAAATACTTCATAAATATAAATTTGTGTTACTTTTACTATATCATTTTTATGCCAGATATTTTTATTCAATAGTTTCCACATGATCTAATATTCATATAAACCTGTTATTTAAAACATGAAATCAGAGCTAGACAAATTACTCAAACTATAACTTTCATATTAAGTATAAGAACCGCATTAGGAGGTAGGGATGTGAACTGAGACTTCATCACTATTGTGTTCAGCAATAAAATAAGAAAGAAAGACTGGAAACTAGGAAATTAAATCACGCCTGATTCCTTTATGCAGTGCCTGTGTCTTGTGAGATCTTGTACACTAATAAAAATTAGACAAGCAGCAGAATCCTTAACATAGAAACGCTCCTCAAAGTGTCATCTTACTGGTTGTTTTCTTCTAGAAACCATCCATCTTTACCTGCTTGCTTTCAATTTTATTTTATCATGTACCTATAGATTCCCATACACAAATATTAAAATGATTATAAAAATAGTGTGTCTTTATTTTTATTTTTTTATTTTTTTTGAGTTGGAATCTCACTCTGTCGCCCAGACTGAAGTGCAGTGGCATGCTCCCAGCCACCAGAGCCTCAACCTGCTGAGCTCCAGCAGTCCTTCCACCTCAGCCTTCCAAGTAGCTGGAACTACAGGCGCACGCTACCATGCCCAGCTAATTTTTTGATTTATTGTAGAGATGAGGTCTCGCCAAGTTGCCCAGGCGGGTCTCGAACCCACGGGCTCAGGCAATCCACTCACCTCAGCCTCCCAAAGCGCGGGGTTACAGGCTGAGCCACTGAGCCCGGCATATAATGTGTCTTAATAATCGAAAATTCCTCCAGTGTCCAAATGCGTAAAAGTTGAAAGGTCATCTTTTGTCCTGTTACCCAGAGAAAGCCACATGTAGTGTTTTGATATGTATTTTCTATAGACTTTTTACCCTAAAAAAAATGCTAAAAAAAGATCGAATCATCATGTATACTCTTTTGTAACCAGCTATTTTCACTTAACAATTTGTAATTAACACCTTTAAGTGCAAAATAAATTCAGAAACCTATCGTCATTCTTAGTGACTGAGGCGCATTTCTTTTATTCTATTTACTCCATCAACCCAATATTTGGCAGGTTTACAGTTTTTCACTGAAACAAAGTACAGCATAAAGCATCAGCTACACAGTTATCATATTAGTTAAGAATAATTATTAGAATTGGAAGTCTTTCATTCAATAAAACTTAATTTTTATCCCTTCATTTATTTGTAACTTTTTTATTTTTTGAGTCGAAGTCTCACTCTGTTGACCAGGCTGGAGTGCAGTGGCAGGATCACTGCTCACTGCATATAGCCTTAACCTCTTGGGCTCAGGCAATCTTTCTGCCTCAGCCATCTGAGGAGCTAAGACTACCATCGTGCCCAGCTAACTTTTATTTATTTATTTTTTGTAGAGACAGGATTTTGCTATGTTGCCTAGGTTGGTCTCAAACTCCTGGGATCAAGTGACCCTTTCATCTCAGCCTCCCAAATGACTGGGATTACTGGTGTGAGCCACCACACTGGGCCCATTCCTTTATTTAAATTCATGAAACCCTCTATTCTCCCTGATCTGAAGAAAAGCTCTTATTCATGTCATTGGGATTGTATTAAGTCTATAGAAATAATATAACCAAATATAATTATTCCCATTCAAGAATAAATTATTCATATTTTATGACCCTTACCATATACAGTATTTATAAACATTTTATTGTCCTTTTTTATACTGAAGACTTTATTTTCATGCAGTTATTTTAAATAACTTTTTCATAATAATTTTCTTAAAAATACAGATTTTTCTACCTATTTCTTCACTGACAAATAGCTTGAGAGAGCATTTTAATGGGCATTATACAAATTTTTATGCAAAAACGTTACTCCAGATATTTAGCATTTTTACTTATTTGAATCTCAAATATGGTGATGATAATAACAATACCACTAAATTATCTTCTGATAATAATTTTATAAACTTTGAATTCCACTTAACTTTTCACTCTGATAGCTGTTGAACAATAATCATGCAATCTTGTCAAATTACTGTTTGATTTATGCTAAAATCATTACTATATTTGAAATTAACAAACTTCAAAAAGAAATTATAGAGAGAAATATCTCCACTTATATATTACTTCAGATTGAATTTAAAAGCAAAGGAAATGGTTGTATAAATCAGGTATGTTATATAGCAATAGAGCCAAAAAAAATGAGTTTCATAAAAGCATAATGTCTTGACATAGCTTAGTCAGAGTATTCATTTGAAATATTTGTAGAAGGTGAGTAATTTACATTGGATAATACCTTGTTGGATTGCTTCCTATAGGAAGATTTTGCTGTTATTTCTTTTCTTTTTTGGGGGGAGGGGGCTTGGAGTCTCACTCTGTCGCCCAGACTGGAGTGCAGTGGCCGCTCCCGGCCACCACAGCCTCGACCTGCTGGGCTCCGGGGATCCTTCCGCCTCAGCCTTCCAAGTAGCTGGAATTACAGGCACGCGCTACCACACCCGGCTAATTTTTTGATTTATTGTAGAGATGAGGTCTCACCAACTTGCCCAGGCAGGTCTCAAACCCACCAGCTCAGACAATCCACTCACCTCAGCCTCCCAAGACTCGGGATTACAGGCTGAGCCACCGAGCCCGGCTATTTCTTAATTTTATGGCATTAGTTTTCTAATTTTATGGGTATTCAAAGACCTTTGAGCTATGACTAGGCTTTTAACAAGTCGGAGCAATAAATCATTTTAAACTTCCTACGGGAGTACTGACATATTAAACTGTTGTTTGCTCTTGTTAGAGCACAGAGACCCTCAAATGCAGGCTATGTGTCATGATTTATGACAATAATTCTTTCATTTACTGTAGTTGTTTTACATGGGTAATGCTTCTTATAAGTAAAGTGCCCCTTGATAATTAGCAAAGATCATCATCTATATAAAATAATTGTTTTAGAATTAGATGATGTTATGTTTTGCCCAGAAGAATTAAACAAAACCAAAAGAAAAAAAAAGAGAGAAATCTTAAAGCTCCTTTTGACATTAAATGTTATCATCTTAAATATTTTATTTTCTCCACTGAATTGTTGAATTTGCAAACACTAGCTATATATCACATTAGGCAAGCAAACTCTCTCAGGACTTGTGTGATCATTGGCAGTGGAAGTTTTACAAATCCAGTACTGATGAATCATTGAGAAAAAAATGCTTTTCCTCTGTGATCTCTTATGTCTTATCTGGAGAATGAGTATTAAATCGTGATTTAATTCACTTTAACTAGCTTCTAATATAAATGCCAGAGACTCTTTTCTAAAGTGACAGTTGTATATCTGACCTCTGGTAATCCATTGCCAAGGAGATAATCAACTTTGAAAAGTCATGAAACGGGATTATTTGGTTTGTTTTATGTTTTAATACAGGGATTAGGTCCATTTATTTTCCTGTGAACTGTATATAGAAAGGTGGTTAATAACTTTGAAGCATAAAATTAATAGCTTGTTACCCAAGATAACATATAATTAGCTGCCACACACTGAGTCTTTATAAAAATGTGAAAGGCAACAAAGATCAGTTAGCAAAAATCTTTATATTTTTATCTCTAAGGTTCTTTTTTCTTTATTTTGTGGAAGCAGGGGCTTCACATTTTTAACAAGTTCAATGAATTCATCTCTGGAACATAATAACCATTTTCATGTATATAAGGTAAGCTGGGTAATGCTACAATCTGAAATTTTGCCATTAAATCATTTTACTTGACGTTGTGATGCTCGTAGGCAAGAAAGGAAGGCTTCTCTAAGCAGTAACTCTG